AAACGTAATCTGTGTAAACACTCTATGCAAATAAAGGGACCCAGTCTATGGAACTCACTCCCTAATGAATTGAAAAGCTGTCCAACTTTTGCGTCATTCAAAAACAAAACTAAAAAGTACCTAATCTCATCTTCATAGTTTTTTTTACCTTGTTGCTTTAAAATTGCACTGTATCTATTGGTACCCAATCTCCCTATCTTTATGTACCCAATCCGAACATCTTTACCATTGTGATCATTGCTGTCTTCTTATATGTGCTATCAATCTGCTGTACGGTGTCTGTTAATCTTGTGTAAATTACCAATCAAGTTGTCAATGTAATCAGCCAGAGCTTTAATATACCAATGTGCTTTAATATACTTACTAATCTCTCTCATCTTTTTTTTTGTTTGAATGTATCTGTTTTCATTTTATTAATTCTGCTAGAATTTACCTACTTAAAATTATCTGTTAGATTAAGGACCTGCCCGAAACGCTGCGCGTACTAGTGGCTTTACAAGATTGCAAATACTAAGCTATGTATACTCTCTAACCCAATGTACCTTCTTGTATATAAATAAATAAATAAATAAATAAATAAATAAATAAATAAATAAATAAATACACTTATATTAAATATAATACAGTAAATATACTGTATTGTTAATTCACTGCATCTTAATAGAGTTTTGACAAAACATTTGCTGCTTCATTAATATCGGCGAACTTATATCGTGAACAACACACATAACATGGTAACTTGGGTCGGCGTCAGATTGTGCGTACTGAAGGTGACGAAATATTCTAGGAAACGTCGCCATGTTCTGGGAGCTCCTCCAATATGGCTCCCATTGTCCCACATCTAAAAATAAATAAATATAAATATGTTTATTCAGGTAAGGTACATACATACAAGTGATGTTACATTAATGGATAAATATATAGATAGAGCTAGTACATACAATGCCTAAAGCCACTATTACGCAATGCGTTTCGGGCAGGAAATCTCCTGCCGCTCTCACCACACTGGCCTTTACTCTCACTCATAACCCATACCAAGACAATACTTGGCTTACTGAGAGTAGTATGTCATGAGTTACAAGTGACGAAGAGATCAAATAGTTAGTTTAGTTCATTAATCATGCACCCCATACCCATCCTGTGGGCGGTAGTGGAAAGGGTTACAGAGGCACATAATGGGCTCAGGGACTAAACCCCACATTTCATTTAGCTAAGCAAGTTACAATCTTGATGAGCTAGTTACAAAATTCAATATAAGTCGTCACATCATATATGGGTTCGAGATCGACCACAAGTACAGGTTCTAAATTAAGCAACTGACATATGTGGAGAGCTAGTGTCAAAATTAATATGTTTGTCCTGCACACCGCCCCCCATCCAGTGGGCAGCGGTGGATAGGTTACAATCACTTAGTTACTAACTACAGTTAGCAAACTGGGGATATTTGGCTAAAATTTTTGTTACCAGATAATTTTGAATGAAATATTTACACATCTTTGGAACATTGGTTATAGAATTGTCTCTGAATTCACGTATCTTTTCGCACTCCATCACATAGTGACGGAGGGTGTGCGAATAATTTTGTTGACGCAGTTTACATTTGGTCAGGTCTACATCGGCAGATAATGAGAATTCCCAGAGATACTTGTAACCGAGTCTAAGCCGAGCAGTAGTAACATCTAGAAGTCTGCTGATTTTATTGGATGAACCATAGATGTGTGGCTCCTCTTGCATGATAGTATGATGACAGATGGAATTACTGGTGTCGATTTCACTTTGCCTCAGATCTACAATATTTTGTTGAAGTTCTCGGTGTACAGCTGCTCTCAGATTGCTCATTGACAATCCAAGGTTACACTCAACGGCTCCTTTAAAGGCTGATTCTTTAGCTAACTTATCAGCTCTATCATGCATTCGGAGGCCAACATGAGATGGAGACCACATGAAATGGACTCTGTTACCATCCTTAATAATTTTGTTGTATTTGTGTCTAGCTTCGGACACGAGCATGTTACAGTTATGTCTTAAAGAGTTGAGAGCATTTAAGGATGATAAAGAGTCGCTTACAATTAATGTATCAAGTTTGGAGACTTAATTATTATTGTATACATTTCAGTGCAAGGATCAAGGCAAATAGTTCAGTCTGAAGGGTAGGAGACCCAGTTGTTTATATGGACTCCCCACTCAAAATATAGGCCATCGCCCATTGTCAGAACAACTGCACTTCCAGCTGCACCCGTGGGGCGGTGTAGGGAACCATCAGTGTATATAATTTGAGAGAGAGAATGCTCTGTAGAGAGAGCATCAATATGGCTTAAGGCGTTGAGCTTTGCTTCAATAAGAAGCTTGGGCTGATCTCTAATTTGCTTCTTGGGTGGAATCAAATAAAGTGAACAAAGTATATGTAAATAATGTTTGGTCATAGTGTTGCAACCAATAATAAAGAAAGAAATTGAATCATGGTGGTGCAAGGGAGTGCGCATGCGCCGCAGCTTGTCACGTAACCCAGGGTATATACACTGGTGATGGGACGAGACTGCGACATTCATGCGGCTGCCCCGACGGAAAGAGGAAGTGTGCGTTAAAAGGACGACTATATTTGGAGTTTTCTTGTATCGCTATTCTGGTATGTTATCTGGCAGCGTTTTGTTTCACACTTTGTATGGTGTAATATATAATAATAAATGTTGGGAGTCTTGATATAACGTCACTCGTTTAGTTACATTTGGAAGAAAATACTTATTTTCATGTACCTAAATGTGTTGATAATTCATTGTCCGGGACTGGTAGACTGTATGTATTTACGTTTAATCTTGTATCGAGGTTGTGACTCAATAGGATGCAATAGTGAAAGCGGTTCCCGGAAAACTCCCGGGAACTCGTTTCCACCTGGATGAACAGATACATTAGGTGATTGGAAGTTTGTCAACAATTTATCGTCCGGAATTTGAGTAAGATTCCAGATTGAGTAGACAACGGACCCAATGACTTGTTTATAGTTGACCAAAGGACAGGACCCGGGGGGGGGGGGGATCAAAGACCACCCCTTTTTGTTCTGAACATATTTTCCTACTTTATCTTAAATTGCAGGAAGGTTGTCATCCTTCAGCGGGTAGGCGGTTCCATGGGGTTTATAACAATGTGGGTGGAAAAACATCTGGTCTTGTCCGATTGATTGATTGATGAAGATTAAGCCACTCAAGATATATTGATTTAAATATATTCATGGCACGGGCATGAATATCCCGTAAGGGGTATAATTTTTTGTTCAGTAAATCTATTCAGTGTTCTGAGGTCGCATTTAATCGTCAGGCTGCTATCGCGAGGGAGGATACTGCTTGACAGTATTTATGAGGGTGTCCAGCTGCTGGACACCTTTTTTGATCAGAAGAGTGGCTGTGTTGATGGCTTCAGGCTGGTTACTGGAAGATTTGGGGACTTTAAAGCTCTTCTAAGGTCGTTGGTTGCTTCACATTCCAGGAAATAGTGAAGTAGTGGCTTTTCTGTGACTGTGGCAGAAGATGCACTCTCTCTGTCGGGGTTCACCAATCTCCCAGTTGCATCTGTAACCTAGACATAGTTTATATAACCGAACTGCTATTTCCCTGTGGATTCCTTTTGGGATATTTAACATTTCTAATTTGGTTGCCTGAAGATACCATATTGCAGATGGCGAACCTTCTGCTACTCTCTGGTGTAGATAGGCTTTGTTGAGGTGTGAGAGTTTTTAGGTGACGATTTTTTTATGTTCGCTAGGCTTTGTTGAATTGTTTTATGTATCACTGGATGACGAATTGCCAATTTAGCAATTTCATCGGCTTTCTCGTTTAATGGGATTCCAACATGGGATGGGATCCAGTTTAAGGTTATGTTGAGTCCTTTGCCTTTAGCGACTGCTCCAAGATACATGTGGGAACCGACCTGTGAGATTTATATATATTTAATTTATATAGAATTTATATTACGTTAATTTATATATTTCGATAGCAATTTGTATAATGTTTAAGCGGACTGTATTTCTGCAATATTCTCACAAATCGACTCCTTACACATTAGACTCGGTTACAAGTATCTGGGAATTCTCATTATCTGCTGATGTAGACCTGACCAAATGTAAACTGTGTCAACAAAATTATTCGCATACCCTCCGTCACTATGTGATGGAGTGCGAAAAGATACGTGAATTTAGAGACAATTCTATAACCAATGTTCCAACGATGTGTCAATATTTCATTCAAAATGATCTGCTACCAGAAATTTTAGCCAAATATCCCCAGTTTGCTAACAGTAGGTAGTAACTAAATGATTGTAACCTATCCACCGCTGCCCACTGGATGGGGGCGGTGTGCAGGACAAACATATCAATTGTGACACTAGCTCTCCACATATGTCAGTTGCTTAATTTAGAACCTGTACTTGAGGTCGATCTCGAACCCATTGTTGATGTGATGACTTATATTGAATGTTGTAACTAGCTCATCAAGATTGTAACTTGCTTAGCTAAATGAATTGTGGGGTTCAGTCCCTGAGCCCATTATGTGCCCCTGTAACCCTTTCCACTACCGCCCACAAGATGGGTATGGGGTGTATAATAAATGAACTAAACTAAACTAACTTTATAAAAGAATCATTACTATATTGTAAAGTGGTGATTAATAAGGTAATCATAATCTGGCCCAATCTCAGACTACATGCCTATAAACCTATGGCCTATGTGTCAAATTCTTGTAATTTTTACCAGAATGCATAAATTGAGGATTAAACAAAATGCTGTATTACTATAAATGACAATCCCATCAATATCCCTAAATATAAATATCAATCCCTAAATATAAAACATTGAAGCTATATCTTCATTGCCTCATCAAGTTAGTGATCCAGTTAACAAAAATCTCAGATACAATGTAAATATATTTACACAGGTTTACCTGTGTAAATTAAATTTTTTTCTAGTAAATTGTTTAATCCTCTCTAATGTTTTTTTTTCTTTGCAGGTGCACAATGCAGATCTTCGTCAAAACGCTTACTGGGAAAACTATTACACTAGAAGTTGAACCTTCGGACACAATTGAAAATGTAAAGGCAAAGATCCAGGATAAGGAGCGCATCCCTCCAGACCAACAAAGGTTGATCTTTGCTGGCAAGCAGCTGGAAGATGGTCGTACTCTCTCCGACTACAATATTCAAAAGGAATCCACACTTCACTTGGTTTTAAGACTGCGAGGTGGTATGCAGATCTTCGTGAAAATAATCACTGGAAAGACCATCACTCTGGAGGTCACGCCTTCGGATAAAATTGAGAATGTGCAGGCAAGGCTTCAGGATAAGGCAGACATCCCACAAAACCAGCAGAGGTTGAGCTTTGCTGGCAAGGCGCTGGAAGATTATCGTACCCTTTCATACTACAATAATCAAAATCAATCTACACTTCACTTGCGTCTAAAACTGCGAGGCGGTATAAAGAGCTTTGTGACGGCTCTCACAGTGAAGACCATCACCCTGCAGGTTAAGCTTTCAGACACCATAGACAATGTAAAAGCAATGATCCAGGATAAGGAAGGTATCCCTCCAGACCAGCAGAGGTTGATCTTTGCTGGCAAGCAGCTGGAAGATGGTCGTAACATTGTATACAACCGTATTCCAGAGAAAGCTACACTTCACTTAGTGTCTCGTCAAAGAGGCGCTATGCAGCTCTTTGTGAAAACCCTCACTGGAAAGACGATTACCCTGGGGGTTGAGCCGTCGCATACAACTAAGAATGTGAAGACAAAGATTAAGGATTAGGAAGGTATCCCTCCAGACCAGCAGAGGTTGATCTTTGCTGGCCAGCAGCTGGAAGATGGTCGTACATTCTCCGACTACAATATTCAAAAGGAATCCACACTTCACCTGGTTTTAAAACTGCGAGGTGGTATGCAGATCTTCGTGAAAACAATCACTGGAAAGACCATCACTCTGGAGGTCACGCCTTCGGATAAAATTGAGAATGTGAAGGCAAAGCTTCAGGGTGAGGCAGGCATCCTACCACACCAGCAGTTGTTGGTTTTTGCTGGCAAGCAGCTGGAAGATGGTCGTACCCTCTCCGACTACAATATTCAGAAAGAGTCTACCTTGCATCTAGTTCTTCGGCTCCGTGGTGGACACTGAAATGCTGTCTTTGTAAAGTTTATAATTCAAAGATATGCTTGTGGCTTAAATTTGCACCTTACAAACCCCTTTCATTTGTAGATGGATATTTCTTTTGTAGATTTTTTTTTTTACTTTTTATAATGTGCTAGATGAGCCAAATAAATTGGCTAAACATTTGCTGTCTTTATTCTTTCTGAACAATCCAGTTTGAAAATTTATGTTTATGGGACTATACATGAAGTGTGTTCAGACACTGACTATTAGCCTAAAACTCACCAAGTCTTGGGTAGGGATGTGTGTGTGTAACAATATTTTTCGTAATTTTGAGCAGTTTTAAGTCTGCTAGATCATTTGTGAAGACTGCCCTAAAGTCTTTCCTAAATTCAATTCAATTTCTTTATTATGCACCCCATACATCGAATGTATATTCACAAATAATATACATATGGAAAATACTAGAGGGGCAGGTCCAAAATCTACACAGTAAAATAGCAACGTACTGGAGTGAACAATATGGAAGAAAATGCAGAATAGAACCAGTGAAGGGCAGAGGTGCTATTATAATCAGAGAACACTGTATAAACATCAGAGGTCCGCGGTTGTTCAACTACCTAGATTTAGATATTTTATTCAGGTAAAGGTACATACATTGAGTTACATAAATAATATTGGATTTAAAGATAGAGATAATACATACAATACCTAAAGCCATTGGTACGCATAGCGTTTCGAGCAAGGTGAGGGGGGGGGGGAAGAAACTTAAACTAAAACTTAATAATAATTGAGCTTAAAGTATAAATTGTGTTGAAAAAATAAAAAATAAAGAAAGGGGGGAACATGGCAGAGAATAGCAATTATACAAGTTGGTCAACAAAGAGCATTGATTACAATAGTAAGACATGGGTAGACATTAAGGGGTAAGTTAGGTTACAAGGAGTTTATTAGGTAGTTTTTAGTTTTTATCTTAAACTGGTTGAGAGAGGAACAGTCTTTAACATGGTTGGGAAGGTCATTCCACATTCTGGGTCCCTTGATTTGTAGAGCATTTCTAGTTTGATTAAGTCGTACTCTAGGAATATCAAAACTGTATTTATTTCTGGTGTGGTGCTCATGGGGTCTGTTACAACCTTCAATGAAGCTTTTGATGTCAGGATTGGCATTACAGTTCAGCGTTTTATATATGTATAATACACATGAGAGAATGTGCAGTGACTTAATATCTAACATGTACTTAATATCTAATATGCACTAGCCCTATCTATAAATCCATCATTCTTTGTAAAATCTCTTGTATGTATGTACCTTACCTAAATAAACATTTATTTATTTATTTATTTATTTATTTATTTATTTATTATTAACATATTCAGAAATTTGAGTAGGGGTACCAAGTGATGTCTGGGCCAGAGTTGGATATTGTCCTAATAGCAGCTTTGTGTTGAGTAATTAGAGGACGTAAATGATTTTGGGTAGTAGAACCCCAAGCACAAATACCATAGTTGAGATAAGGATAGATAAGGGAGTAATAGAGAGTCACCAGGGCAGGGCGGGGTACATAATATCTGATCTTAGAAAGACTGCCAACAGTTTTTGAAACTTTTTTATATATATTTAGAATGTGTCCCTGGAAATTCAGCTTGTGGTCAATGAGAATGCCAAGGAACTTGCCATCTAATTTGTTACAAATTTGGGTATTGTTTATTTTGAGATTTATTTGATTAGAGGATTTATTGCCAAACAGAATATAGAAAGTTTTGTCAATGTTAAGGGTAAGTTTGTTGGCAGTTAGCCAAAGATGGACTTTATTTAGCTCAGTATTTAATGTGGCATTTAAAGCAAGGGGGTCAGGACTGGAGTAAATGAAGGTTGTGTCGTCAGCAAATAGAATTGGTTTGAGGTGTTGGGAGGCATTTGGAAGGTCATTAATGTAGATGAGAAAGAGGAGAGGGCCAAGTATGCTGCCCTGAGGAACACCAATGTTGATGGGTAGGGTGGGAGAAATTGAATTATTCACAGAAACATACTGGAAGCCTGTCAGTAAGGTAAGATTTGAGGTATTGCAGGGAGTGTCCTCTGACTCCATAATGATGTAATTTAAGAAGAAGGTTTTGGTGGTTGACAGTGTCAAAAGCCTTACGCAGGTCCACAAATAACCCAACAGGGAACTCATTTTTACCAAGAGCTGCATGAATCAAATTTTGTCTTTGTCCACGCTGTCATTTTCTCGGAGAATTTTGTAGGCGGTGATCATAGTGGCCTTCAGGTAAATTCACGTAATTATACCCGAAACTTTTAATTTACATTTATGTAACTACTGTTTTAACCCCTATATCATGTTATTCTGGATTTTTAAATAAAAGTATATTTTTGTTATTATTTATTATTTTATCATGAAATGAGCGATGAAAAGTTTAAATGTCTTTACAAGGGGCTATATATATAAGGTATTTTTAAAATATCATACTTACGAATGACAGTACAAAAAATAAAACATATAAATCAATAATACATCCAAATTCAAATAAATAACGCTATATAAAGTCTTATAATGTATGTTACGGTGTGAGCAGCGGTTCTTTATAGAGGAGGAAGGCGGGCTGGTGAGTGTAAACAACCCGGGCGCCTCAAGTTTTGAACGTCCGTGAGGAGCTGTGGTGTGTGAGGGCTGTCATGTCGGCTGTGTAGCTCTCTCCCGCACATATACCTCGCTCCCCTTGCTGTCCCGTCACACTCCAGGTGAGGCCCTCAACCACAGTACCTATATACTCAATTTTGATGTGACTGGTTACCTGCATAAACTATTTCTGGATCTGGATTTTCACAAAACTCTCAAAGCGTCTGTAATACTCGCTGTTCCTTGATTACTAAACAAGTCACAACTACAAGGACCAACAACCCTTGACTTACTAAAGAGATACTTAAGTCAATACAAAACATGAATATGAGAAGAAATACAGGCTAGGGGTCTTTCCAGAGGTTTGTTTAAGGGTTATTCCTCACTCCTCACTAAGATGATGATAAAAAGCCAAGACAACCTACCTTGAAAGTATATTTAGTTAAATAAGAGGTAACAAAAAAAAACATAAATCACTTTTGCAGATAAAGTCACTGAAGATCTTGGATAAAAACCTATACCCCTGGCTGAAAATAGTGGAATATCAGCAGCTGACACAGCTTCTAAATTCAATATATTCTTTTCATCTATTTGGGTGCAAAGTTTCCACCTGTCTCCTTGTGCGTGTACCCCCATGTTAAATAAACTGACTAGATCTGTCCTATCAATTCCTTAAGAATTTTGTATGTGGTAATCATGTCTCTCCTAGTTTGTCTTCCAGGGATACCTGGTTGATGGGGTTCTGGGAGTTCTTCTATTCCCCCAAGCCCGGCCCGAGGCCAGACTTGACTTGTGAGAGTTTGGTCCACCAGGCTGTTGCTTGGAGCAGCCCGCAGGCCCACATACCCACCACAGCCCGGTTGGTCCGACAAAGGGATGTGAGGTTTGGTTCCCGTAGTCTCTCTTCATAGCTCATACCCTTCAGCTCCGGTTCTAGTCTGGTGGCATACCTTTGAACCTTTTCGAATTTAGTCTTATGCTTGACAAGATATGGACTCCATGATTGGTCTGACATATGTGGGGGTATACAAACACATATAGTATGACATATTTGAGTGGTATACATAGTAATGAATAATTCCTTTCACGTGTTTCTAAAGGCCATTCTTATGTTGGCCAACCTGGCATATGCCATTGATGATATCCTTTTGATGTGAGCTTTAGGGAACAGGTCTGACATATCAACCCCCAGGTCTTTCTCACTTTGATTTTTGAAGAATATCATCTCCCAAATGGTACCTTGTATCTGACCTCATGCTCCCAATACCTATCTGTGGATGGTTGTTAATATGGTACCAATTTTTAAGAAAGAAGATAAATCACTTGCGTCAAACTATCGGCCAATCAGTCTAATGTCTATTGTGGAAAAGTTATTTGTATCGATAATTGCAAATACCATTCGTCTTCATCTTGAAAAATATAAATTAATAAATGATTCACAACATGGTTTTACAAATGGCCATTCATGTTAAAAAATTTTTACTATCATTTTACTCCAGCATAGTTGAGACAGTTGATAGCGGTAAGGTTTGTGATGTTGTGTACTTTGACTAGCAAAGCTTTTGATACAGTACCACATGAAAGACTGATTAAAAAGATAGAGGCTCATGGTATTGGGGGTGCTATATTAGGTTGGATTAGGGCATGGCTATACCAAAGGAAACAGAGTTAGTATAAATAGTGTTAAGTCAGAGTGGAAAAATGTTGTAAGTGGAGTGCCTCAAAGCTCTGTCCTGGGACCTGTGTTGTTTATAATATATATATATATATATATGATTTAGATTCAGGTTTGAGCAGCAATATTTGCAAATATGCCGACGATACAACAATCGGGAGGGAAATAAGCACGGAAAGGGACTCGCTATCACTTCAAGACGATCTAAATAGAGTTTTGAAATGATCAAAAGATTGACAGATGCAGTTTAATGGTGACAAATATAAGGTTTTGAGGTTAGGTAATGATGATATAGTTACAAGCTATATAGTGCTGAGATTGTGAAGTCGGATTGCGAACGGGATCTGGGAGTTATGATTAGTACGAATTTAAAACCAAAAAATCAATGCATAAATGTTCGTAAATGGGGCAGGTGGGACACTAGGATTTATTTATTGAAGTGTTAGTAGTGGGACACCTGGTGTTGTTCTTCAGCTGTCTTGTTTTGCTTGGGCCCCATTTGGATTGTGCAGTTCAGTTTTGGACACTGTACTGTGGGGTGGATGTGGATTCACTGGAACGCGTCCAGCGTGGGGTGACAGGGTTGGTCCCCGAAATTAGAAGCCTGTCTTATGAAGAAGGATTGACAAAACTTGGATTGCATTCTCTGGTGGGGCAAAGAATTGGAGGTGGCATGGTGGAGTATGCAGGTGGATGGGTGGGCATAGCAAAGGGGATATTAATGGTGTGTTGGGGTATCAATACGGGATGGAACACGCAGCAATGGGTGTGAATTTATGAGCTTAGATTTAGGAAAGACCTGGGTGGTTGCTGGTTCGGTGGCAGGGTTGATTTGTGGAGCCAGTTGCCACGTGGCATGGTGGAGGTGGGGTCCCTTGATTGTTTTGAGGGTGGGTTGGACATGTGTATGGGTGGGATTGGGTGGTTGTAGGTGGGAGCTACCTCATGTGGGCTGGTGGGCCTTCTGCGGTTGCCTTTGTTCTTATGTTCTTATCTTTATAACTTTACATTTGCTCGGGTTAAACTTTAACAGCCATTTGTTGGACCATAACTTCAGTTTGTCTAGATCATCTTGAAGCCTCATGCTATCCTCCTCTGTCTTAAGGGGTGTATTACGCTTTTTTAAATGTTTAATGTCAACCAAACTTTTTTTTACGAGTTGTATATAAGAAGGGCTGCAACTGTTCTATGTTTCAGTATCGCACCCTAAATAGAAAAGGAGTTATTTTTTTTTTCCAACAAATTTTACACATTTTCAATAATCTTCAGCAACCACAAGTTTCAAATGAAATCATTTCTATGACACTTGTATATCATATTAGCATATAATATAGGATTTTTATACAAAAGGATTATCTAAAATATGTTTAGTTTTACTAATACAAGTAGTCAAAATTCCCCCAAAATATATGCCAATATTTCATGTTTGAAAATTATTTATAAAATCAATAAAGGAACTTGGGAAAAAAGTGTTTCATAAAGTTTGTAGAGACATAAACTCTACATATAAGGTGTAAATTTCATGTAAATTGAAAAAAAAATGAAAGAGGTGAAGTAAATTTATGTTACTTGACAATAAATAAGATCAAAGATTCTGCCACCTGTGGTTGAAGTTGCCTTCAACCAAATTCATCATACAGTGTGTCAACAGCCACGTGTTGACACTCGTAGTGAGATGAGTTGAGGTGGGCTTGCGTGAGGTTGGGGGGGAGGGGAGTGAACAGGAAGGAAACGTTTGATCTGTCTGTCTGTCCAGTGCTTTTTTTAATTTTGACCTGAAGGGCGAGTTTATTGAGCAGCGCCACTCATCCTGTGAGTGGACACACCACCATAGCCGCATGTGGTTGCCACACTCCGCAATGTTGTCTCGCCCACCCACCCACCTGTTGACCCACTTCCCTGCCCACCCACCTGTTGACCCACTTCCCTGCCCACCCACCTGTTGACTCACTTCCCTGCCCACCCACCTGTTGACCCACTTCCCTGCCCACCCACCTGTTGACCCACTTCCCTGCCCACCCACCTGTTGACCCACTTCCCTGCCCACCCACCTGTTGACCCACTTCCCTGCCCACCCACCTGTTGACCCACTTCCCTGCCCACCCACCTGTTGACCCACTTCCCTGCCCACCCACCTGTTGACCCACTTCCCTGCCCACCCACCTGTTGACCCACTTCCCTGCCCACCCACCTGTTGACCCACTTCCCTGCCCACCCACCTGTTGACCCACTTCCCTGCCCACCCACCTGTTGACCCACTTCCCTGCCCACCCACCTGTTGACCCACTTCCCTGCCCACCCACCTGTTGACCCACTTCCCTGCCCACCCACCTGTTGACCCACTTCCCTGCCCACCCACCTGTTGACCCACTTCCCTGCCCACCCACCTGTTGACCCACTTCCCTGCCCACCCACCTGTTGACCCACTTCCCTGCCCACCCACCTGTTGACCCACTTCCCTGCCCACCCACCTGTTGACCCACTTCCCTGCCCACCCACCTGTTGACCCACTTCCCTGCCCACCCACCTGCATGCTCGCCACCCACCTGCCTGCTTGCCCTCCCATCCACCTGCCTGCCCTCCCACCCATCTACCTGCCTGCTCGCCCACCCATCCACCCACATGCCTGCCTGCCTGCCTGCTCACTCGCCCACCCACCCACCCACCTACCCACCCACCCACCCACCCACCTACCCACCCACCCACCCACCCACCCACCCACCCACCCACCCACCTACCTACCCACCTATCTACCTACCTACCTATCTACCTACCTACCTATCTACCTACCTACCTACTTGCCTGCCTGCCTGCCTACTTGCCTGCCTGCCCACCCACCCACCCACCTGTTCACCCACCCACCTGCCACTCTCCAAGCACATCTGCCTGTCATCCACTCATCTAAAACCTGCCTGCCTGAACCTGCCTGAATGCACCTATCCCTGCCTGAACCTGCCTGAATGCACCTATCCCTGCCTGAACCTGCCTGCCTACCTACCAGCCAGGAAGCTAACCACCCACCCAGCCCCACACACTAATTACTGTGTGGAAATTCAAATTATGTTGTTTGCGGTACAAACATTTTTGGAAAGTTCACTTTTGGACTACTGCGGTAAAAAAGTACTGTATGTTAATCCGGAAAACGTGCTAATCCGGCAAAGAGTCCTTCTCGTATAGTCTGGATTAATGAGCTTCTACAGTACATCAATGAGAAAATTCAATAGGGCTATGCGGCTGGCAATACCTTGGTTGCAGGTTCGCGCCATCTCATAGCCCTGGTGGATTTTTTCATTTATATATATCACGTTAGTGTGATTTCTGTGTGTGTTTGATGGGAGTGTACTTATTATATATCAATTGGTTGTTGACTTTTATGTGAATGTACTTTGTGAGCAGAGTACATTCAATTAAATTATAAGTACAAATAAGAGAGGAAGGCCAATAAGA